ATAATATTTTGCCTGTATATAGCTCAGACCTCTCTACAGAAGCTCAAGTAGACTTTTTGAAGTATATAACTTAGAAGTGGGTTTATCCATATTTTACGACAACAGAGGGGAGCAATTTTAAGAAAAAAACGCCGATAATTATTTCAATTGGTTGTAACTCTGAAAATAATGTGAATTTTTCAAAAATCATAGTTGAGCCTCTGTAAAGAGGTCTGAGCTATATACAGGCAAAATATTATTATAATAGAAGCATTTTTCACAAAAGGAGAACATTTTGAAAAAATATTATTCTAAGTTAATTTTTGCCAAAATATTGTATTTAAATAATCTTTTTTGTCAAAATGTCCTTAAAACTATTTTATACATGTAGTGAAATCTAAGTGACACTAAATATCATGAAAATTATCCATTTATGTGCTTTTTTAAAATCACGGTTCCGAACTTAGTCGGATACCTTAACAATAGAAATGATTGTACTACTGAAATCCAATAGAGAATTACTATGGCTAATAGATGTCTTAATGGAATACGAAAATATAGGAAATCGAATCAAAAGAGAAACAAAGATTCTATTGTATAAAAGTCTCTTAAGATCCGTATTAAAACTTATGCATGTGAAACTTGGTCCTTGTCTCGAACCGATGAGAACGTAAGTATGTACGAAGGAAAAATTTTGAGATTTATTTTTGGAGGAATTCAGAAAATAGAACGCGGTGATGGAAATCAAATTTCGAACTCTGTTAATCATATAAAGAATCTGACTTTGTTAACTTCATCAAAATACAGCGAATTAAGGTCTTGTTGTCAGAATAAATGAAGACCGCACCACTAAAAAAGTCTTCAATTCTCAACCAATTGGCACACGAAGAAATCGAATCTTAGATGGGCAGATGGCCTACAAAAAGATCTCCTAGTTTTGAGAACTAAGAATTGGAGAATACTTGAAGGAAGAAGGCTGGCCTGGAATAGGCTTCTTGAGAAGGCCCAAGGTCCACCCTGGTCTGTAAAGCCACTGAGGAAGGAAGGAAGGTAATTGATTACCTTATGTTATAAATAAATAAATAATTGTTACGATGCGATCAAAATTGCATGTTTTAATCGATTTCTCAATCCTGCTTGAATTATCTAGCTCAGCGGTTTTTAAACTTCCTGTCACCGAGGACCCCTTTAAATATCAGACTGACATCGTGGACCCCTAAAATTTTAAACACCCCTCCTTGTCTTAAGAGTCTAGTTCGAAATACATGTTCTATAGTAGAATTTTCTCATTAACGGCAATTGAGTGATCTAGACTAGGATGGCACATCCGTCAGTTTTTCCACCAGGCCTTTCAGAGTTTGTAAAAGAGGAAAATCTTAATGTTATATCAGAGATTTCACGGATCCCTTAGAAAAGCGCTGTGGACCTCCAGGGGTACACTAGGCCACAGTTTAAGAGCCACTGATCTAAATGATAAAGCTATCGATACAATCATTTAACAATATATGTTTTTGTTTATAAGTTAAAAGCTTAAGTTTTACAGTCTTAAAACGAATGAGACTTAAGTTTCACTAATTCAGGGTAAATAAAAATACTTTAACAAAACTATAGATTTCACGCTACTTCAAAAATAAAATTAACCAATAACCTTGAACCCAATGACATCTTTCAATAATCTTAACGCTTAACTACGTCATCATCACCAAAATAAAACAACCGAGCGACATTACAGAACATAAACCACTCCCGAACTCAGCCGCTACGTGTAATGTCTTTCCAAACTCGGTATATACTCTTTCTACGGACCACTAGCGCATCCACCATGATTTCCCGTGAGGAGCTTTAAACTGGGCAGCTGATAATTGTCAGCTACAGAGCTTATTCTATTTGCTCCTTCTTCCTCCCTTTATCGTCATCTATTACGATTCCCTATGTACAAAGAGATGCCCTATCACGACTGGCCTCAAAGGAACCTTGCCACTAATATCCTTTCGGCTCTCTTTCCTTTTCTATGGATTGCTGTAGCTTTTATCTTTGTTTTACTTTAGTTTTTATTTCTTGTTTCGGTGTATGTTTATTGTGTTGTATGTATTGGAATGTTCAGCTTTGCTTTACATACTTTGAAGTAGAAAACTTTTTTTGTTGGAAATTGAGATTTGTTATGTTTTTTTATGATGAGTAGGGATATTAGTTGGATGTATTTTTGCCTGAAGTTTAGATTTCTTTTTTGTTATGATATTTTTTTCTGTAAGCACTGAAGAGGGGTGTAAAAATGTATTGTGTGGCTGTAAGTAGATTTGTAATTGTTTTGTTGCTGTTGTTGTTATTTTAGAAAATGATGATTAATTTCAAAAAATAATATGCGAAAAATACTGATGTAAAATTATTATTATTATTATTATTATTATTATTATTATTATATTTCAACAAATATTATTCGTGATTTTATGATTGTTAACATTGTCATATGAGTGAGTGTTTATTAGCAACTCATCAAAAAGCAACATGAAGGCTATTGGCGACGGACCTCGCAATTTTGAACCATGGTCAAGTGACGAGAACGTCTCATGAACTGGCACCTCCTATCCGAACTACCACACCAAGGCAAAGGGAGCACTTTGGTCTGGACATATGTTATGCGCTTGAGCCGCTATACATGACGGGCCTTCCGTGACACTAGATCTCGTACTCACGATATGTAGGCCACATAAAAAAAGAAAAGCTTTGAAACCTCAGAGACTTCTTAGAACGATTTTATTGACTTTTGATTAATAATTCCTGTTACATTTGATAATTTCTTTCTACTAAAATGTATATTAACTTAAGGTATCCGACTACGTTCGGAACCATGATTTTGCAAAAGCATAGTTTTAAGAATATTATTAAAATAAAAAATTATTTAAGAGCAATATTTTGACAAAAAATGAACATAGAATGACCCATTTTCAAAACATTCTCCTTTTATGGAAAATGCTTCTATTATATAATAATATTTTGAGAGTATATAGCTCAAACCTCTGTACAGAGGCTGAACAAGAATTTTTGAAATATATAACTTAGAAGTGGATTTATCCATATTTTACTACAGCAGAAGGGAGAAATTTAATGAAAAAAAACGCCGATAATTATTTCAATGGGTTGTAACTCTGAAAATAATGTGAAGTTTTCAAAAAAAATAGCCCAGACTCTCTGGAGAAGTCTTTACTTTATATAAGCACACACACGAAATCTTATTATTTTTAGAAGCATTTTTTATAAAAGGAGAACATTTTGAAAAACGTTTATTCTGAGTTACATTTTTGCTAAAATATTGTATTTAAATATTTTTTTTTGTCGTAATGTCCTTAAAACGAGACTATACACGTATTCTTATCTAAGTAACACTAAATATCACGAAAATTAT